CACTACTATCCTTTGGTCCTGGCTGCTCTTAGGATAAAGTGACAGGTATAGACTAGGATTTCTGAATATAAGATCAAGAAGTAAAAATTCTGATTATCCTGCTATGTACCTATCTACCTATACTACAACATGGTTGGAACCTGAATGTTTTCATTGGTGTAACTAGTTAGCTTTTGTTAGAAGATTGATTCTACCCCTGTGGAGATCAGCTACAACTTACATTCTATCTAGTGCCTTGCTAAGTTGCAAACAAGTGGAAGCCCACACAGGGCAAGACAATAGGGTAGGCTCATTGTAGGCAGGCTCAAGGCACCCTGAGTTGCCTGGTATTCTTATCTAGTACCTTCACTAACCTTAACTAAACTTGAAGACCCTCTTTCCTCAAAAGTCTATAAATGTATTTTCCTTTGTTCTTGTTGTTGTTGTTACTCCTACTCCAGATTCCCCAGCAGCAGGCAGCATCACTAAAGGATGTTTCCTTAAATCTGATTCAGTGCATCTCTCTAGTGAATCTCAAAAGAATCTTTATTACTTAAAACAGTTTTTATTCCATCTACAGATATAGAGAATGTCATTTTGGCTTATTAAAATTCTTATTATACACATATTTAGGAAGTTATAAATTATATAGCTCAGAAAATTTCTCTTAATTCTAAAGTATGAATTATTTTATTTAAAAAGCAACTGTAAAAAAGTACTACTTTAAACACCTTCAGCACTTGTCAGGAGACACTGCACTTTTATTAAGGTTGAACATTTTGTGGATATGCCTAATATCATCTCATATACGTTACAAACAAAAGAAAGTACAAGGGCCAGAAAGATAAATCAGTAAGTTAAAAGGTGTTTACCACCAATACAAACAACATGAGCTTAAATCCCAGGATCCACATGTTAGAAAGAGAAGAAACTTTGGCAAACTGTCTGTCTTCTGGCCTCCACACATGCAAAGTGTGGCACATTCATACATGTACAAATGCAAACAAATGAATAAATGATTTTTTAAAAACTCTTAGGGACTGGAGAGAAGGCTCAGTGGTTAAGAGCACTGGCAGCTCTTCCAGAGGACCTGGGTTCAATTCCAAGCAACCATATGGCAGCTCACAAGTGTCTGTAACTCCAGTTCCAGGGGTCCTGATGTCCATGGCAAATTACCAATGCACATAAAATAAAAATAATTTTTTAAAAAAAAAACCTTTTTAATAAAAAACAAAACAGGCTCAACCTATATTGGACATTTCCACCCCTTGTGGTGAATGAAAAGTCTCAAACCAAAGGCAAATAGCTGAGGTGTCTACTTAACATATCAAAGCACACCTGGCCACCAGGTTCTCCCAACATCCCTCAGTCCCTACCTGTTACCAGGGTTTGACTGGCATACCCTGTCTCCTACTCTAAACTTCTCCAGCCCAGGGGCTAGGTTGCCCTTCCCCTAGCTGCTCTTCCCTATATAATTCAGCCACTTTGGCTAAACTGATTTTGTTCACTCTGGAACTTCCAGATGCCTTTGGCTATGCTCTCCTTTTTATCTACAATCTACTTAGAAGCACTCATGTCCTCACTTTTCTTTTCCTTCATTCTTAATTTTTTTTCTCCTCTTATTTTCACTCAACCCACCCTCAAATAGTCCCCTGCAGCAGTTCTAATTCCTTTCCAGATCCCCTTGTTGTCCTCTGAGGCCTGCTCTGAAACCCTTCTACATTCCACTTCAGCCAAAAACAGACAGATTAGCCCAATGCTACTTTCCTAAATGACTTTAGGGCCTCAACTCTTCACGTGTGTATTGTGGGAGAAGTTGTTAGATAGATAATTAGGTATTAGCAGACTGAGAAGACACTGAGTTAAGAAACCAATTAAACAAAGGTCTGGCATGGCAGGACTTTAATATTGGTAAGAAGAATGTGATCTGATTCTTATCTCTGTCCCTAGAGGCATCCTGGGTACCTAAAGAAACATTAACAGATAACTAGAGCTGGCTACAACAGCTCTGAACTTTTAAAGATTTTTATGTAGAAGGAGACACTCTTGATAAAGAGTAAGGACACACCATTGCTCCCTCCTAGAAGAAACAATCTAAGCAAGCCCATCAACCACTTCAAAGTCCCCCAGGAAAATCTACACTACGCTGTGTGTCTTGTCTCTATTCTTGATGGAAATCACAAGGAGTCAAGGCCAAGATTCCAGTGACAATATGACTTACTGACTTAATTAGCCATTTCAGTTCAGGTCGGAAATAAGGACAGAATTATACCAATAAAGACATTACCATTTTCAACTGAAGAGAACAGAGGAAACAGGAAAGAATGAAGGTCAAGTTGTGTTTCTTCAATTTCAGAGGACCACAGCCCAGTTAGAGTGGGTCAGAACAACCTACTCAGAGCCTCAGGGGCAGGATTGTGCTCACAAATACAAGCATACAGGTGGTGACTCAAGAAAGCAGATAAAGGCAAATCCCTACACACACACACAAAAATTTAAGGCCAGCAATATGACTCAGCCAGTAAAGACTTCTACTGTGCAAAGCTGGTGACCTGGGTTCTATGTAAAAACAGAAGCAAAGAATTAACTCCACAAAGTTGGTCTCTGACTGTACACTGCAGCATGTTTACCCACATACATGTCAAACATAGATACATACAATAATTTTAAATAACTAAATAAACTGAATGCCTTATAGAGCTAGAAGGCATGGCACTAGCTCCCTAATCAAAGAGCAAAGCACTAAACCAAATATCATTTTGAATCTTTAAGTAATGGAATTTGTTATCTTTCCCAATTTTATGATAGCTTGTGTAGGGGCTGAATTGTGTAGGCCCATAATTCTGAGAATTCTGAGAGACCAACAAGAAGGTGGTAGCCTGGCTTTTTGATAGTAAGATAACCTGACGCCATCCTAACAAGTGGTCAGGGTATGCTAATGTCATTCTGCTCCTTCTATTGTAAATTAGGAATTTGCCTGGAGAAGAGATGCTTTCAGTAGACATGAAAAATAGGCATAGTCGGGAGGGGACCTAAGTCATCCCCCGCCCCAGGAAACAGAATGCTAATGAACTTCCCCCTCAGTTTACCTTTGTTTAAAAAGAAAGCTGTTTGGAAAATAAATGGTGACTTTTCAGGATGTGATTTGAGATTTTCAGGATCTGAAAGATCCCTGAACTCCCTCCAGAAACTGTCGTATGAACAGCATCTTCCTTTCCATGCCTCTGCTCTGGTATAAGAAATTACTTATGTCGGGGCTGATCCCCGACAAGCTTGAAACACGTACCCCCTTTCTTTCTTCCAATTTATCCCTTTTAGAATGAGAATCTAAATCCTATTCTGGATTCACCATTGTATTTTAGAAGTACCTATCACAGGTTCACAGATGTGAATGCATCTGAGTTTTGCTCATATCTGATTAACAATTAGAGGAGATTTTGGATTCTAGACTATTGAGAACCAATACTGGAATGTGTTAAGACATTTGGATTACTAGGATGAAATAAAAATATTTTGCAAGTGATAAAACATTACTGGGGGGGGGGGTGGAACAGTATAGCCTGGGCTTTTGAAGAAGAGATGAAGTTAGATAAGATCAGAGAAGGGATTGCCTGAAACAACAAAATTGATGCTCTTGTCAGAAGAGGTATCAGTCCTTCTAAAATCTGAGAATACAAGGAGACTACCAGCAGGCTACAAAAAGACTTCACCAAAAACCAAACCCTTGTAGGACCTGGCTCTTACAATGTCAAGCCTCCAAAACTATGAGAAAATAAACTTCTTTGTTTAAGTCACAATCTCAAGTATTCTGTTATAAGCAGTCAAAGCATACTAGAATGTGTGAATATGTTTTATTACCATTGGTTAATAAAGAAGCTGCTTTGGCCTATGGCAGCGCGTAATACAGCCAGGCAGGAAAACTAAACTGAAGAGAGCGAGATGTCTGCAGCCACAAAGGAAGCAAGAATTGAGGTAACAAACCATGAGCCTTATGGTAAAATATAAAACAATAAAAATGAGTTAATTTAAGATGTAAGTTAGTTAATAAGAACCCCGAGCTAATAGGCCAAAGAGAATATAATTAATATTAAGTCTCAGAGTGGTTATTTCATAAGCAGCTTTGGAAACAGGCGGGCAGAGAAATACAAGTCCAAGAGGACTAGTGGGACAGAGAATACTTCTAGCTACAATGTCTCAATAATGCAGTTATGAAGTAAAACCAGTGCATGAGAATCAAGGACTGAACCAACTGAATTACATTCCTACCTCAGCACTATTTATTTCCAGATGTTTACCTACATGTATATATGTGTACCATGTGTACACAGAGCCCAGAAAGGCCAGAAAAGGAACTGGAATTGGGAACCAACCATGGTCCTCAACAAAAGCAGCAAGCACTCTTAACTACTAAGTCATTTATCTCTCTAGCCTCCAGCACAATCATTTTTAAGAGTGAAAACTAGCCATGTATGGTGGCAGGTGCCTGTAATGCCAGCACTCAGAATGAGATCAAGTCATACTCAGCAACAGCAAGTTTGAAGTCAAGCTAGGAAACAAGGAACCCTGCTTCAACATAAAAACAACAGTGAGGGTGAAACCAGAACATATATATAGAGCCATGCACATACAAACTAGTCACATCTCTTAATGGGTGCTAACTGGCTTGTTTTCTAGTTTTAAGGCTCAAATGGAAGGTTTGGTGCATGCTAAACATATATTCTCTGAATATCTCTCAAGATTTCTCGTTTTAGTTAAAGATTAGAAAGTTCTAAAATACACAATCTTTAAAATGTTCAACTCACAGAAACAACAGATCAACTCTTAAAAAGAATTAAATGGAGAAAATTAATCAAACCAAGAACCATTAGCACAACCAAACACAAATTAACTAACCTTGTGGTTTTGTTCTTTAGTAGCCTTTACTTTATAAAATCACAAACCAAATTAAGGTCAAAATCAGAGTAAGAAAAAAGACACTAATCAGAAGTGACCAAAATCAAAGTAAAGTAGGGTGTTACTTATGATAAAAGAAAGGAACAAACTCCACTGTGAGAGAAGCTGGCTTGTATTTCTGTCTGCTCTTTTCCACAGAACTAAGGATTCGTCTATCATTAAAAAAAAAAGTCAATAACAAATTATAACATGAAAAAACAGAGGTGGCACAATTTAAAAAACAATTTCAAAACAAATTTAACATCCTGATTTTGGTTTGCATACTGAATAAACATCTTCAGGACTGGTACAATGTTCAAAGAGAAGTTGAAACAACAACTTAAGTCCTTACCGATTTGAGAACATTTTTATTACGCATTGTGATAGCCAACTTAAGTCTCCAAATAACTGGGAATTTAAAAAGAAGCCAGCATTTAAATTCCCAATCTCTAGAAGAAATTGCAAGGCAGTCCTGAGAAAGTGATAGCTAAGACTATGACAGTATTCCTCGGAAACTGCAGAAGCCAGTGACTGACCTGTGCTTTACTGAGGTTTTATTCAGATACAGTGAGTCCAGACCTTTAAGTTCCCTCATTTTGAGGATGCAAATGCAGTAAAAAAAAAAGGGGGGGGGGATTATCTTTAAATGAAGACTCCAGGAGTTTTCATGGATATTTTCTATAAACTTTAACAGGGCCAAAAAAAAAAAAAAAAAATGTATGCAGGCTTTTACTAAGAGCACGTCAGTCATTTCAGTTCAACACGAAATAAAATTGCTTAGATAGCCAAGGGGATAAAAATATTGTAGAATAAAGCCTGTTATAACCAATAATATTATCAAATAGTGGAATGGCTAAATTAACAACTAAAATTAAAATTATAGGGATTTTTATCATGTCCTGAAAAGTATGCTTAATATTATTAAAAACACTGAATGGAAAAATACCTGAAACTACCCAGAAATTCTGTATATCTTTAGGCTACAGGTATACAACAGTCTCCCCCTTTCTAATAAGAAGTTCTTATTTTGGACTTTGCTTGGTGCTTTCTCACAATTAGGCTTAGACTATGCATTCATAGCTGAACTACTAAATATTACAGAGACAATAACATCTTTCTCAGTATCATGTGTGAAGTTCTCACTGATCATAATTTTGGTTACCCAGTCAACTTTATTATAGTGAATAATACTGATATTATTAATTTTTCACTTACAAGTAACTAGTAATTTATTCAAAGACATTTTAAGCATTTATATATTACACTGCTAATCAGAACTTGCCTCTAGATTTATCATTTATTAATGATCTGTGACTGACACAATCTTATACTCTGACACATAAATCAAAATGCTGATTTTCTTTCAACTCCAACATCATCTCTGTATTTATTAATTGGCACTTCATAATCTACTACTACAAGAAATTTAATTTTTCTTTACCAAGTTACTTAGTAGTGGTATGAATTCATAATTTTTTTTCTTAATAGTTTATTATTCTTTTCTGTGATTACTTCATGTGCATATATTGTCACAGTTGGTAAACAGAGCTTAGGGCATAACTAAACAATTTTTTTTCTCCATGAACAGGCAATGATACCTACTAAACTTACAGTAAGCACAGTATGAACTAATAAACATTTGAATAAACAGCTGAATAAACAAACAAGCATTTTATATACCCCTGCCCCCAGCCTGGTGGTAGGATGGAATCTGGTCTCTAGGGAATGGTAGGGAAAGCATTTTACCACTGAGCTGTATCTTAGACCCATACTTTAAGGAGAGGGTTTTGCTGCTGTTGCTGTTGGGTTTTTCATTTTGTTTTATTACTATACTTTAGTTCCTCTGAGTTACTATTTAAGAATCTCCAAGTACAATCGAAATAAAGTTAACAGATTAAGGTAATTTCCATGAAATATTAAAAACATCCTTTGTGCCATTTAAAAATTCTTCATTTTAAACGTTCCTGAATATGAAACTATGCTGCTTTAACTTACATTTGTTCTACCTGATTCTTTTGGTAAATAGTACACTTATTATAAATGACCATTTAATTTCACAATCAGTTTAAAGAAAAGATACAAGCTACTACTATGAGTCATTTGGATAGGTCTTCCATATTTTTCCTTGTAAATGTATGATTGAATCTATCAAGTCAAAAACATTGAAATCTATCCTTACTTTGCCACTTGCCACTGAAGCAGCTCTACTACTGAAGAAACTAAAAACTTCCTAGAATTCAACGAAAATTAAGGCACAACGAATCCAAACCTATGGGACACTATGAAAGCAGTGCTAAGAGGAAAGTTCATAGCACCAAGTGCCCACATAAAGAAACTGGAGAAAGTCACATTTCTGACTTGAGAGCACACCTGAAAGCTCTAGAACAAAAAGAAGCAGACTCACCCAGGAGGAGTCTGAAATCAACAAAATTGAAACAAAGAAAACAATACAAAGAATCAATGAAACAAAGAGCTGCTTCTTTGAGAAAATCAACAAGATTGACAAACCCTTATCCAAACTAATCAAAAGGTGGAGAGAGAACATCCAAATTAACAAAATCAGAAATGAAAAGGGGGACAAACAACAGACACTTAGGAAATACAGAGAATCATTAGGTCATACATAGAAAATCTGTTCTCCACAAAATTGAAAAATATAAAAGAAATGCACAATTTTTTAGATAGATACCATATAACGAAATAAAATCAAGACCAGGTGAGCAATTTAAATAGACTTATGAGCTGCAAGGAAATAGAAGCTGCCATCAAAATCAAAAATCTCCCAATCAAAAAAAAGCCCAGGGCCGGATGGTTTCAATGCAGAATTCTACCACATATTCCAAGAAGAGATAATACCTATACTCCTTGAAGGGTTCCACATAATAGAAACAAAAGGAACATTGCCAAAATCTTTTTATGAGGCTACAATTACCCTGATACCAAAACTACACAAAGACTCAACCAAGAAAGAGAATCACAGACCAGTCTCACTCATGAACATGATTGCAAAAATACTCAATAAAATACTGGCAAGCCGAATCCAACAACACATCAAAAAAATCATCCATCGTGATCAAGTCGGCTTCATTCCAGAGATTAGGGGTTCAACATACAAAAATCTATCAATGTAATCCATCATATAAATAAAATGAAAGAAAAAAAAACATGATCATTTCATTAGATGCTGAAAAAGCATTCAACAAAATCCAACACCCCTTCATGATAAAGGTCTTGGAGGATCAGGGATACAAGGAACATATCTAAATATAATAAAAGCAATATACAGCAAGTGACAGCCAACATCAAATTAAATAGAAACTCAAAGCGATTCCACTAAAATCAGGAACTAGACAAAGCTGTCCACTATCTCCGTATCTCTTCAACATAGTTCTTGAATTTTTAGCATTAGCAATTAAGACAACAAAAGGAGATCAAAGGGATTCAGATTTGAAAGAAAGAAATCAAACTTTGTTACTTGCAGATGATATGATAGTATACATAAGAGACCCCAAAACCTCTACCAGAGAACTCCTACAGCTGATAGATACCTTCAGTGATGTGCAGGACACACAAGAGCAACTCAAAAAAAATGAGTAGTCCTCCCATATAAAAATGATAAAAAAGCTGAGGGGGAAATCAGAGAAACATCACCTTTCACGATAGCCACAAATCACATAACATATCTTGGGGTAACACTAACCAAGGAAGTGAATGACCTTTTTGACAAGAACTTTAATTCTTTGAAAAAATAAATTGAAAAAGATACCAGAAAATGAAAAGATCTCCCATGCTCTTGAATAGGAAGGATCAACATAGTAAAAATGACAATCCTACCAAAGCAATCTATAGATTCCATGAAATACACATGAAAATCCCAACACAATTCTTCAGACCTTGAAAGAACAATAATCAACTTCATATGGAATACCAAAAAACCCAGGATAGCCACATAAAGGAACTACCGAAGGCATCACCATCCCTGACATCAAGCTCTATTACAGAGCTACAGTAATGAAAACAGCTTGGTGTTATCATAAAAACAGAGATGTTAACCAATGGAATTGAAGACACAGATGTTAATCCACACACTTATGAACACCTGATTTTTGACAAAGAAGCTAAAATAATATAATGGGGAAAAAAAGTATCTTCAACAAATGGTGCTGGCATAACTGGATGTCAACATGTAGAAGAATGAAAATAGATCCCTATCTATCCCCATGCACAAAACTCAAGTCCAAATGAATTAAAGACCTTGATATAAATCTGACCACACTGAACCTGATAGAAGAGAAAGTGAGAAGTAGCCTTCAATGCATGGGCACAGGAGACCACTTCCTAAATATAACACCATTAGCACAGACACTGAGAGCAACAATAAATAAATGGGACTGCCTGAAACTGAGAAGTTTCTATAAAGCAAAGGACACAGTCAATAAGACAAAAAGGAAATGGGAAAATAACTTCACCAACCCAACAACAGTCAAAGGATTGATCTCCAAAATATATAAAGAACTCAAGAAATTAGACATTAAAGTTCTAAATAACCCAATTAAAATTTGGGTACTAAACTAAACAGAGAATTTTCAAAAGAAGAATCTCAAATGACCAAAATATACTTAAGGAAATGTTCATCTTCCTTAGCTAACAAGTCAATGAAAATTAAAACAACTCTGAGATACCATCTTACACCTGTCAGAATGGCTAAGATCAAAAACACCAACGATAGCTTATGCTGGAGAGGCTGCAGAGTAAGGGAAACACCCTTCCATTGCTGGTGGGAATGCAAAATCAATTCCCAGATTGATTACTGGAAATCAGTAATGGCGGTTTCTCAGAAAACTGGGAATCAACCTACCTCAGGATCCAGCAATACCATTCTTGTATGTACGTACAATGGACGTGTGCAAGCATGTGTGAAGAGGCACACAGTGTATGCATGAAGAACAAAGGACAATTTCAGGCATCAATTCTGGCCTTTTCCATTTTGTTTGAGACAATGTCTCTTGGATTTCTATTGCATGAGCCAGGTTAGCTTGCCTGTGAACCTCCAGGGTTTTTGTCTCCACTACCAATTTCTTCATAAGAACACCATGAGTATAGACTTTCATGCTCTCACATCAAGCTTTACATGAACGCAGGTCCTCAAGCATATGTTGCTCATAAGCTCACTGAGCCACCTCGTCAGGCCAATACTGAGGCTTTAATATTATGGTCACATCAGTGGTGCAGGCCTTTAATCTTAGCACTCCAGAGGCAGTGATGTAGGAGAGTCTTCTGTTTTGTGTTGATTTCATTAATAAAGAAACTGCCTTAGCCCTTTAATAGGACAGAAAATTAGGTTGGTGTAGTAGACAGACAGAATGCTGGGAGAAAGATGCCGAGTCAGGCAGTCGCCATGATTCTCCCACCCGACACAGATGCAGGTTAAGATCTCCCTGGTAAGCCACACCTTGTGGGGCTACACAGATTATTAAAAATGGGTTAACTGAGATGTGAGAGTTAGCCAATAAGAGGCTGGAACTAATGGGCCAGGCAGTGTTCAAAAGAATACAGTTTCCATGTAATTACTTTGGGTAAAGCTAGCTGCAGCCCACCCCAGCTCCTACTACAAGGCAGGTGACTCTCTCCAGCCTGGTCTATTTAACAAGTTGTAAGCCAGACAAGTTACAAAGTAAGACTCAATCTCAACAGTATCATTTATAAGACATACCCTGAAATTCTATGTCTCCAATTTCTATAAGGATCATATAAACTTTCACAGAATGCCAATGCATGGATCACAAATTCTTCAATAGATGTCTGATCAGCCATTTCCTTTTCCTTTTTTTTGCTTTTTAACTGAGAATAAAATTAAACATAAAAGTAAGGGCAAGTTTCAATTATCAGCTTTCAATAAGTCATTTTTATTTACAGAAGCCTAATTTTGCTTTTGAGTCCGTATGAGTCATTTAATTATATGGATTAGATACATTCTCTCAGATATTAAATTCTTCCTAGAATAAGTTTGAAATAGTCAAACATCTTTGGAAATCATACTTTTCAGCAAGATTTATAATCAATTCATACATAAAATGAAACATTGTGACATTTTTAAAAACTATAAAAAAATTTTAAATTAAAATACAGTGTCAGGCAATGGTGGTGCATGATGCCTTTAATCCCAGCACTCGGGAGTAGGAGACAGAGGCAGGTGGATCTCTGTGAGTTCGAGGCCAGCCTGGTCTACAAATTGAGTTCCAGGACAGCCAAGGCTACACAGAGAATTTGCCTGTCTCGAAAAAACAACCAACTAACAAACAAAAAGTATAAATAGCTAGTCTATTTTTAGAAAATAAAGGATTTGGGACTGGAGAGATGACTCAGTGATTAACCAGAGGAGCCAGGTTCAATTCTCAGCATCTACATGGCAGTTCACAACTGTTTGTAACTACAGTTACAAGAGCTCCAATACCCTTATACAGGCAAACTAATGTACATGAAATAAAAATGAATAAATCATGTTTTAAAAAATAAAATACAAGATTTATAAAATAGATTAATTATCTTTTCAATTACTACTTCTTTGAAAACATTTAGCAATGTTAATAACAATATTAAAAAAAAAGTAAAACCTAGTTAGTCTCAATAAAGCAACAAAAAGGAATGTATTCACACCTACTTGCTGAATATACAGTGTTGTCATGGTAATAACATGATTAATATAGGAGCAAGTCCCAATTTCTTCTACATTTGATAAATTCCTAGAAGATAAAAGAATAACATTCATTATATATGAGCAATATATTGCTAGTGTATTCAGCGTGGATCCTGAGAACTGATACTGGCAAATAAAATATTAATGATATTAAAAAAGAAAATAATGCATAGAGCACTGCCATTATTCAAGTGAGTACTATTACTTATTTCACTCTACTTTCTGAATTTTAGCTCCCTTATTTTATGTCCTATTTTGTAAACAGTATCAGAAGTCCCACAACACAAGGGGTATTGCCATCTTTAAATATTCTAAGAGGATAAAGCATTACATTCTGTTTAAAGTAGAGAGTCCTTAAGGACTTTAGTTGTGACACATACTAAGCTAATTTATGAGACCTAAATATTTTCTTGACATTACTGTTAAAAGTTTTTCAATAAACTAATGAAATTTTCCATTCTGAGACACTGTGATCTATAAAATTTTCTATCTTAAAATCTAGATGTTCAAAGAACAGGAAAAGTTAATAGACTTCACACCTTAAAAAATTAAACTATGACACCTTAGCAGTTTCTCTAACATAGCAACAGTTAAAATTCTCTGATAAGTGAAATGAATTACAGTAGCATTGTGTTTTGTTTTGATTTTTCCTTTTATGTGTATAGGTGTTTTGCTTGCATGTATGTCTGGGTACCACTATTGTCCAGTGCCCTCAGAGGTCAGAAGAAGGTATCACAATCCCTGCAACTGGAGTGACAGATGGCTGTGTGCTTCCATGTAGGTGCTGTGGATACAAGTGAATATAACCTGGTCCTTTGGAAGAGCCCCAAAATACAGCAACATTTTTAGAGACTTCAGAAGGAAAATCTAAGGTCTCTTAGACTGACTGATGACTTTGCAGATAAAAAAACTAAAAGCATAATCCATTTGGGGAAAAAAGAGACTCACTAAAATTAAGAACTTCTGTGCCTCAGTATTAAGAGAATAAAAAGACATCTTGCAGACAATGAAAAAAAAAAAAACATGTACCAATCATCTGAAAAAAAACATGTATATCAAAATATTTATAGACCTATCAAAATAAGAACACAATCCGATTTTAAAATTTGGCAAGACTTTTGTAGGTACTTCACCAAAAGACATTATGAATAGTCTCAAAAAAATGTGAAATATTTTATATCATTAAAGAACAGCAATAAATACTATACACCTATTGCAATAGCTAAAAGCTAAAAGAATGACTATTTATGGAGGCTGCTCGTTTCTTTCCTGGGTGCTCAGCCCTGAAATAATCACATAGATACTGTATTATTTGAAAAAAATAGTTATAATTTTCCTTATTTATGATAAAAGATAAAGTAGATGTAAATATTGTAACTGTAATTCTTGCTTGAAACCTGTTTTATTATATGTAATTTTACTATGTTAAGAGTTAAATCCTTCCTTTTTATTTAGACAGAAAAAGGTAGCTGATGTTATGCTGTGACTGTTTTATTGCCTTTGGTTAATAAAGAAGCTGTTTTTGGCCAATGGCTTAACAGAGTAAAGCCAGGCTGAAAGAGATAGCGAGAGATACTATATAGCCACCTACAGGAGACAGATGTGCCTCACCTTGCTGGTCACGTGGCAATATACAAATTAATAGAAATGGGTTAATTTAAGATGTAAGAGCAAGCCAATAAGAAGCTAGAGCAACTAGTCAAGCAGTGATTTAATTAATACAATTTTTGTGTGATTACTTCGAATCTGGGTGGCCAGGCATAAACAAGCAGCCTCTGCCAACAAACGGTATCATCAAATACTGAAAAATGTGACTGGAGAAAAGACTTGGCAGTTAAGAGCACTTGTTGCTCTTCCAGAGGACCCAGGTTCAATTCCCAGCACCCACATGGCAGCTCACAATTGTCCATAACTCCAATTCCAAAAGATCTGACACCCTCAAACAGACATGCATGTAGCAAAAATACCAATGAACATGAAATAAAAACTAGAAAATGGGGGAACAATGAGAATCCTCATTCATTGACTGTGATAATGTTATAACCATGTGATATAGCATTATTGATCCTAGGTATTTGTCTACATGGGTTGAAAATTATCCATATAAAACCTAGACACAAATATTTATAACAGTTTTATAAATAACAGTCCCAAACTAGAAGCAACCAAGATATCCTTCAATATAGTTAAATAAACAAACTGTGGTACCATTAAAGAATTATACAAACAAGTATCACTAACAAGTATTATTATAGTTTTGATAATTATGCTAAAATTTTTACTTTTAGAATAAAAATTTAAAAATTTTTACACCACATACCTGCAAAGAATAATAAAGAATTTGACGAGCAAAATTGATAATGCTTGTTGCTGTTCCTCTAACCCATCTGCTGTTTTCTGAACACAATGTAGCAGCTGGATCCTCAGAACCTGAAGAATATTATCAGGAAGCAAAGATATTCCTGGAGGCATATCATCTACCCTGTCAGATATGGGCAAGGAGATAGTGTTGAAACTTAAGACAGATAATTAATTAATTAAATGTAATAACAAAATTTCAAGAGTGGCTGACTGTCAAGATTTGCAGCTTCCACCTGAAGTATAAACAGTCTTGTGGAGGACTCTGTCTTGCACGTGTGAAATCAGGGGCTGAACTGAGTAGCTAGTGTCAGACCACTGAGTGGACAGTAGCTCACCAAAGCAAAGAGGTTTCTAAGAGCCTGGGATAATACTGTCCAGGAAGACTGCTATGATCACTGTGCAATATCTGTCATGAGAACATGGTCATGCAGTAGTACCAAGCTGTTGGCAAAGATGCTGGTCTTACATTAACAAAATTCTTTTGCCAAAAATTAATAATCTCACCCAGTGGTAATAAACCAGTATTTCTACATACCTGGTAGGAAGCTTTTCAAAGTCAACATCTAAAAATTGTTCATAACTTAAAACAAAATTGTCCAACCATAGTCTCAGGTAATCTGGATCTTTCTGAAATTAGAAGATCATCACAATATTATCTGTCAGAAAAGCAATGCTTTCACACATAAATAATTACCTAAGTGGGAACAATAGCCATTCCCAAGATCACATCTGTCATCTGAGCATTCCCCTCCCCTTTGTCTCTTCAACAGTTCTTTATGGCAGTCAAATTTCAACAAGTAATTTAGGAGTACAGACACTTAATCATTAAACATCATAACTTAAGCATTGATCTAAGGCAAAGGGATCACTAGCAAAGTTATTTGTTTCCCTAAAATAAAAGCATTATGCTATAATCCAGAATCTCAAAGAATGTTCCCAGAATATATAACAATCCTTTTAGGATTTTTCTATTACTATATTGGCTCAAAATCAGCTTATAAATCCCCACTATCTACAACTTCACAAGACAAATCAGAAGGTAGAAATATTTTAGACAAAGAGTACCATGAGAAATTTTCTAATACTTATTACTTGCTTTTTATGTTTCAAAGTAGAATGTTATTTGTCTATTTATTCAGTTATTTACCCACTAGGGCTAGAACTCCAAAAATACAAGTACCCAGGGTTCTCCTTATTAGTTTCTTTAAAAGGAAAATAAGCAGAGGATTACTTCTTGGTAAAAGTTAGGCACAAAACAGTCACACACACACAGTAAAAAATTAATGCCGTTCTCTTCATATTTTATTTAGCAACTCTCTAGTATCAGGTTCAAATTCTACACCAATACTCTAGTACCGATCTACATTTTAAGCCCTTATTCTGACTCCATAGGTCAGTACTACCAAGTGTTGGGAAAGCATAGAATTCCCCTAGGAAACTGAACAATCACAGAGAAGAAAGGAACTGTTTCATTTAAGAAGCATAAAAGTATCTTCACTGGGCAGTGGTGGTGCATGCCTATAATCCCAGCATTCAGAACACAGAGGCAGACGGTTTTGTGAGATTGAGGTCAGCCTGGTCTACAGAGCAAATTCCAAGAAAGACCCGAAAGCTACAGAGAAACCCTGTCTTGAAAAACTAAAAGGTATCCTCTATTTACTGGAAAATGCCTGTAACAGCAGGCATTTTTAACCTATATCTTTTGTTTGTTTTGCTTTGCTTTGCTTTTTGAGACAGGGTTTCTCTGTAGCTTTGGAGCCTATCCTGGAACAGACTGGCCTCGAACTCACAGTGATCCCCCCCCCCCTGTCTCTCCCTCTAAATTATGAGATTAAAGGCGTGTGCCATCACTGCCTGGCCTTAACCCATTTTCTTATTTATACCTTACACTATCCAGAAAGGGTTTGGTTTTCCTAATTTAAGAGATTACAAAAGAATGTATAACTTGTCCAAAGTCATAAACTAAAAACTGTAGTGCTGCAAAGATACATGAATCCAACAGGTGCCCATTCTACTACACCATACTGGCTGTGAGCCATGCATGCCAGCAGGGGTAGATTTAGTAGGTTAAAAAAAGAAAAGGATGGGTTCCGTCAGGAACCATCAAATCAAGGCTATAAAAATGTTAGCATACAAAATAATAATATCTTGTACAGCTTGAAAGAATTTGTAGATAACTACACTTTGCTGCTAAGGGTCATAATAAGGAGCCTGAAATCAGAAACAGTAGTGATTGTATTATTTCTCCTCAGTATAGAACAATAAAAATATAATCACTCGGATTCTCCTTACCAGTTTTCCAACAGAGCAGAGGATTACCTCTTAGTCACTCCCATGATTAAGTTCAGTATACTGAAACACCACAGCATGGTCTTACCTCCCTATCTGTACATTTACTAACACAACACACAAATACAGTGAGTATTTCAAGACTGCTACAGTCAACTCAATATCACCTAGACTTAAATCCCAGCACTCAGGAGGCAAAGGCTAGAGGACTGTGTGATCTCATACTGAGTGAGTCCCCAGCTCAAGAAACAAAAATAAAAACAAACAAAACAACAACAACATACCAATTGAATAAAAAGATAAAATGACACAGGCAGTGGTGGCACACACCTTTAACCCCAGCACTCAGGAGGCAGAGGCAGAGTTCCAGGCCAGGCAGGGATATGGAGAAACCCTGTCTCAAAAAAAAAAAAAAAAAAAACAAAAACAAAAACAAAACAAGCAAAAAATGGTTAACTACTGAATGCCCACAACAAACACGTAAAATCTATGACCAAATTACCATTTTTCAGAAGTTTAGGAGTAGCCTGATATCTGAATCTCAATGTTTTCATACAAAATTACACTCAACAATGTTCTAAGAGTGGCAAACACGCCATACAGCAAATAGCACCAGAAGACCTAAAGATAAAAACTATCATTATAAACTATACTGACCTGAGTCAAAAGTAGCCGTATGCAAACCCATACATATAAGTCTTAGCTTCAGAGTGTTCAGTGGTGGAAAAACCCAGTCTTTACTACTAAAATAAGGAACAGGCAGTTTCCTTAATCCCAATAGAGTATACACTGGAGGTATAGACAACACCACTAGACAAGAGAGATCCAGAAGCAGACTTAGCAGAACATTCATCATCTTGAGTAACTTTCAAATCTAAAGAACAGACAGACTTTTAGACCCGCTTAAGATTAAAAAAAAAAAAAAGGCAAAAAGGAAAATTATAGAAAAATAAGAATTCCCAAGAGTACAGGGGCAGAAGAAATAAAAAAGTGACCTTGGCAGTATAAAACCATAGCAGTTTAGTTTTCTGGAGGTAGAAGGATTACTTGGTTTTCAGAGTTGCCACGAACTATTACTTATGTGCCTATTATTCTTCTCTTCCATGAAATCTTTATTGTGGCGCTCCCATTTTAGTTTTAACACTCTGTGTTAGCTTTGTGGTGCACATATATTGACGATGTCTTCTGAATTCAGACTTTAGTATCAAGAGAAGTCACAAATGGACTTGATGTATGTCTATGTCATCACAAGATCCTGGTTCAAGATTAAGTACATATACAGGACGTTTTAAGTTACTGATAAAAAAAAGTACACATTACATATAGCAGGGATATGAACAACTGTGATCAAGAAAGTGAACTGCGATAGAATGGATTCTTGATTTCAGTATATTACTTTGCAGTAAAAACTTTGTTAAGTTGGGCGGTGGTGGTGCACACCTTTAATCCCCGCACTTCGGAGGCAGAGGCAGGTGGATCACTGAGTTTGAGACCAGCCTAGTCTACAGAGTGAGTGCCAAAACAGGCTCAAAAAAAAAAAAAAAACCTTTTTTGTTGTGGTTTGGGAAGGCTTAAGGTTTTTGGCTTTTTTAAACAGTGTGTCATGACTGACCTCGGTTTGCCTTGAACTTGGAGATCTATCTGCATTTTTCCCCATCACTTGTGCCACCACCACCAACTCCCTTATAGAAAACTTGTCGTGTAATTTTGCAGTAAAGGAAAACCTGTAGCAAGGGCAACTCAACATGCAAACAGAATAACTCAGCAAAGCTTTATTCGTAAAACTGCAGTTTCAGAGAGCTATCAGACATTGGTTTCTGGGATGCCTAACTTACATGTAAGAATCTTTAATGTTTGTGTTATTCCTCTTAACTTGTTAGCTATGTCAATCATCTTAGGAGCAAACAATATTGTTACACAAAATTATGTGAACATAATTCATGGAGTAATAAGTTCCTTACATCATACTACTCTAGAATTACAGAAGGATATTTGGAAATTTCAGACTATTTCAATGTTCTAGATGCCAAAATGTGGTCTACAGACCAATATTCTTGACCAGTTTAATGCAAAAAAAAAAAAAAAAAAAAAAAAAAAAAAAAAAAAAAAAAAAAAAAAAAAAAAAAAAAAAAAAGGAAACCTTTTTAAACGATAAAAGCAGCATGGTAACCAATTTAATTCTGAATTTACTAACAAAAATGAGAAAGACAAGGGGTTTGTAGCTCAATAGTACTGCACCTGTTTAGCATATGAGGACCTGGATTCATTCTCTAATACGATTAAATGAATAAATAAGTAGATAACTTTTATTTTAACATCTTTCATTATCACTCTTTATAGACTGCTTTACTGAAACTACCAACAACCTCCACAATGTCTGGAGGAATAATTTTTTGAGTGTGAGAAAGAGAGACTCATGTGTGTGTGTGTGTGTGTGTGTGTGTGTGTGTGTGTGTGTGCCAAGCAACCATATAAAGTTCCTAACCTTCCACCTCTCTTGAGGTAGGGTCTCTTATTCACCACTGAGCACAGGCTAACTGGTTCACCTGTCTCCAGCTCCTATCTCATCTCACTGTAGCTAACTGGAATTACAGATGTGCACTAATGCCAGAACTCTAGCACCTACACTTCCAAAACAAGAATGTCAGACGCTGAGCCTCCTCCTCAGCCCTAGTTTTTCATTTTGTTCTGGAACTATGAATTCTCCTGTCTCAGCCTTCTGAATACTAAAAGTACAAATGTGCACTACTACACCCAGCCTTCCAAATGCTTTTCTTGAATGCTATATTTTATTCTTCTGGACTGTTTCACAAACCGTTCTACTTTCTGAGGCACCAGCACTCTTAGTCTCCCATTCAAACTCCTAAACATATGTTATTATATGTCTAAGATATGAAAATATTGGACTTCTCTCTTCCTAACAGAAATTCTTCAGGTCCAAAACATCATGACTTTTACCCTCTTATTCTTATGTACAGATAATTTCTAATATAACTCTCAAATATTTATTTCTAGCACAAACCTCCCTTTTGAACTCCATATCTACTTCTGAAGCACCTGAATACCCCTCAAGGACCAGAAACTCCACCTGAAAACCTAGTAACCATGTACTACTTAACTTTGCCAAAGTATCAGTTTCCAAAGCATAGATTAAATGCTACATATGCTACCAACTACTAGGGAACTTAAGATAATCAAAAGAATTTTTAAAAAATGTGATTTTTGAGACAGGGTCTCGCTACACAGCCAGGCTAGTCTGAAACTCTTCATGTAGACCAAGCTGGTCTTGAACTCAGAGATCTTTTTATGCATCCTGAATATACAGATAAAGATGTGTG